TATGCTTCTCTGCTCCTGGGTATTAAATAAACTAATTAAGTTCATAGTTATGATCAGCAAGAGTGCCTCTACCAAAATTGTGAAATTCATGGCCCCAGGGTCAGGGGTTCTGATGTTAAGGTGGGACTCTATTGAATATATAGTGAAAATGCATTATTTCTTTGAAAATCTTCTTCTCTGTTCCTGAGTATTAAATAAACTAATTAAGTACATAGTTATGATAAGCGAGAGTGTCTCTACAAAAAATTGTAAATTTTTTTGCCCCTGGGTCAGGAATTCTGGTGTTAGGGTGGGGCTCTATTGATTATATAGTGAAAATGCATTAAATCTTTGAAAATCTTCTTCTCTGCTTCTAGGTATTAAATAAACTAACTAAGTACATAGTTATGATGAGCAAGAGTGCCTCTTCCAAAATTCTGAATTTTATGGCCCCAGGGTCAGGGGTTCTGGTGTTAAGGCGGGGCTCTATTGATTATATAGTGAAAATGCATTAAGATTTATTCTTTGAAAAGCTTCTTCTCTGCTTCTGGGTATTAAATAAACTAATTAAGGACATAGTTATGATGAGCAAGAATGCTTCTACCAAAATTGTGAATTTTATGACCCCAGGGTCAGGGGTTATGGTGTTAAGGTGTGGACTCTATAATGATTATATAGTGAAAATACATTACATCTATAAAAATCTTTTTCTCTACTCCTGGGTAATAAGCAGATGAACTACTTATATGGTTATGATGTGTAAGGGCTTTTCTTCCAGAATTGTGAATTTCAAGGCCCCTGGGTCAGGGATACCAGAGAGGGGGGGGGGGTTTCTTATATACTAAAAATGAATTGTTTGAAATCTGCTCCTTGGTATTAATCAAACATTTTTGATAAGCAAGTGTGCATTTCAAAAATTGTGCAATGTGTAGACCTAGGGTCAGGGGTTCATTTGTGGTAGGGGCACTCACGATTATTGCTGAATATTACTGATTAGTTGACATGCATTTTTGTTCCCTTACCCTGCTTATGGGTATTAAGTAAACAAACTAAACATTTGCTAAGTGTATAGTTACGATTAGCAATGGTGCCTCTTTCAAAATTGTGAATGCCATAGCATCTAGCTAAAAACATGAACCAAATTCAATCATTTGAAAGTTGTTGCATGATGCTCAGGTGACCTATAAGGCCCATGGGCCTCTTGTTTCCTTTAAGTAAACTCATTGTTAAATATTTAATCAGTGAGTTTAATAGCCGTCAAAAGTGGGAAACTTAAACTTAAACAAAACCTGTGGAAAGGAATATTTTTTGTACTTGTATCACATCTTGTCTTGCCAAAAGGTCAGGAATTTTTTCAGAGATTAGCTTGTGCGCGGCCTAGTACAAGATATCTAAATTTCTATGTCCATCTTGTCTAGATCTAAGAGTATGTGATCTGGCATAAGTTCCCATATTCTGTGAATGGAAATGTATAAAAAGCTTAAATATTAATGTCTTGGGAAGGATTATTTTTTTTTTATTTTCTTTGAAAAAATATTAGACGGTATTTGATACATATATACTTGTAGCTTACATTTAAGGGCTAGTACTCCTCTCAAGGTCATTTAACAAAGTCATGGCCACTGGGAAATAGATAATTACTGGTGGTAAATCGGAATAATTACACGTACCAAGAACAACTTCTATTCATTGTTCTTTCAAAAATCTGAATTTTATAATGATGCACATACCAAAATGGTACTTAAATAATAGTATATTCCTCACAAAATAAGATACGTTTTCTTTAACGGTAATTTACCCTTTGAGGAACTGTTTAAATGTGATTTTGTCGCTGTGAGATTTTTCTTGTTGACTTAAACGGGTCCTATGCTGTCGTCTATACGTGCACCTCAATTTAACAAATCTTTTCTAATTAGTGGGGGTTTTGAACTTGTACTTAGTATGAATTACTTAATATGATGTCTATGACGAATGGTGAAAAGCTAGGCTGCATTGTTTATGACATTCTGTCACTTTATTCCTGGATCAAGAAAATTCCTAACAGGTGGAAAGGCCTACGTGACTGAATGGCCGTCAACAGCTCTTCACACAATCTACACCCCCCTCTATTGCTGGAGAAGAAAAAGAATCATTATGCAAGGCGCTAGACATTAGAATAAAAAAAATAGCTTTTGCCAAATGCTACGACATTCAAGTTGAACTTTAAATGTAAACTCTTTTGGAAAAAAAAAGACAATCAAATAATTTGTACATGTATTTATCAAAGTGAACTTTGTTTTGTTTTCAAATTATACAGTTATCTTGTAAATTATATATTGTTTTGATGAAATTTACTTAGTGCTACCAGGTGGCATGATAGCTGACATTACATTAGATTAAAGAATGCCTTTTAAATGTGATGCCAGAGTATAATGTGAAAATTAGTTTTCCTGTTTGAACCTATACCAGCCTGTTTTCAGATCTTGACCTATTGATAGATGTAAATTTCACCGGGCATTAGTTCATCCCACCTTTATCTCAGAGGTCAGTTTGGAAATCGGTCAAAAACATGATCTCAGCATTTCTTGATATCCCTTTTAATTTTTTTATCTATTCCTTAATACTCATTTTTTATATATAAAAAAAAAACCCAGCAACTTTTGTTTTAATGACCAGAACAGAAAAATTAGATGAAAGCTACTAATAATATGCTTTTGACTAGATCTTTTAGTCACCCTCCTGGCCCAGTGGTAAGAACATCTGCCCTAGATCGAGTCACGAAGTAAAGAGTCGATCATAAGGATTGACTCTTTACTTCGTGACTCTAGAGCAGATGTTCGAATTTGCAACGTATTAGGTTGCAAATTCGAATCCCACTTTGGGACATGGAGACCTATCTTTTGGATGAAATTGTATAAACCCGTTAACCGAGGTCCCATGTGTCGCAGCAGGTGCTGGCAGGAAAAAGATCTCTCACTGCTCGATGACCCTGAGTGCCAAATAAAGGACAAAATTTGTAGCTCTCCAAAAACAACAAGAAATCCCTCAGTGTGACCCTTAATGGCCATAAGACTAGTGTGGAGGATACAAAAAAAAAACAAAAAAACACACCTGAATTAAAGATAAAAAAACAAACAAACTAGATAATTGTCATCTGTCAAATAAAAAGATTAATATTAATCCAAATAAGTACATCTTAGCTGCAGGAAGAAATGATTGGTACGTTATACAGATTTTGCACTTCAGTATAGGTATTTGTCGAAAACAAAAGGATTGACTTCAATTTGACAAAAAGTAAGAAAACCTGATTGGCTACGTACTTAATATAATGGTGATCAAGGTTACAATGTTTTGTTTTTTACTGCAGCCCCGTGTCTCAATCATTTTTCTAGATTTCTTTTCTTTCAAACATCAATGTTTAGAATGATAAAAGTAATAAATCAGCTAATTGCAACCATGGCAACCATTGCTTATTTAATACCAAAAATGTTTTGTTTATTCTACTTGTTTGTTTATTAAATTGTAGATTTTTTCCTTCATATTTCTTTTAATAAATGCCATCATAAAAATAATTGGTATATTCTGACGTTTAAGGCCAAACAAGATGTTCCTCAATATCTGTTTTGTATATCTTATGAAAAATATTAAAAATTTTAATTACACTATGATTTCTTAAGCAGTTAAGTCTTTAAAAATCCAAACACTAAAAAATTGGAAAATAATTTTTTTTCCCCAAATGGATAAGAAAAACTACCCTCTGGTATCGAGCAAATTTCCTGGTAAGGTACCCCAATTCTTTGTGAGTGGACATGTCTAAGTAGCGATACTTGACAAAATCTTGTAAGAATTTATAAATTATTGAGGAACGTATCGTCTGTCGTTAAAGCTTTGAATGGAAAACGCTGATCCTATGAGGGTTATAACAAATGATTCATTTACCCCCACCCACCTCAGCAGTTTTTCAAAATGGGAAAAGCATGTGTTGTTGATTCTATGCATTTAAGACTAAAATTAATAAAAGATGCCAATATTTTCGATTTGTGAAATTTAAAAAAAAAAATCAAAATCCTATTTAAAAGGGTACTGAGACCTGTACCAAAAAGGTTACTTAAAAAACCCTATGATGGATCTTAAATGCCATTGCTGAAAATACAATGTCTACAATGATTGAATTAATATCAATTAGAAATTGCTTAATAGCCTGTGCCTTTATTTGCATTACATTAAAACATATTCATGATTTAACAATTTTCCATAGATATAAATTAATGATAAACTATACAGTAAAACTCGTTTAGTACGAACACAGATATTTCGAATCCATGGATACAGTGAAGTTATCTTGGATCCCCAGCTAGCCTATATAGATTTAATGAGATTCTTATATGGTTATAACGAATTAGGGATATAATGAAGTAATTTCATAGGTCCCAGCGACTTCATTATATCTGAGTTTTGCTGTAGTAATATATTATTTCAGTAATGAATTTTTAAGAAATACCATTGCTATAAAATACATGTTACTTCTGGAATTTGTAGCAAATTTTGTGAGGATTTTCAATAACTAAGCTCCTGATCATCAGAATCTGTCAGGACAAAAAATAATTAAACCTATAATCAAATGTGGTCTCTGAAAGAATTCGTGCAGTATTGAATCATGAATTTGAGCTTGGTGCAGGGTAACCAAAACATTCTATGGACTTTAAGTGATAAAATTCTGACTTGCATTTTTTGGGGGTCATTTATTTTTAGATAATGTGATCTTTAAAGTACACTTGTACTTCATATAGCTTTAATGCAATTCTTAATCTGTGATTTCGATTTGTCGTTTTTAATTTTCAAGCCAAGGTGGTCTGTAAATGTAATGACTAAATGAGTGCTTATTAAATCCATGATTTCCATTTGTTGTTTATTTTCCGGGCAAAGTTGTTGACCTTAAAACATGTAATGAGTTTTTTTTATTTTCCAGGCTATGGTGGCCTATATCTGTAATGAGTCCTGATAAAATCTGTGATTTCCATTTGTCGTTTTTTATTTTCCAGGCTATGGTGGCCTGTTATCCGGGTCCTTCCTCTGGATATCTCCGTCATGTGGATAATCCAAACAAAGATGGCCGAGCTATCACCTGTATTTATTACCTCAACAAGGACTGGGACTCGAAGGTTAGTCAACAATAACAAAATATCTCTTACTCCCAGGTTGTAACCATTTTACAAAACAGTAACAAAATATCTCATAATCTCTGTAACCATTTTACAAAACAATATCAAAATATCTCATAATCTCTGTAACCATTTTACAAAACAATAACAAAACATGTTGTACTCTCTGTAACCATTTTACAAAACAATAACAAAATATCTCATAATCTCTGTAACCATTACACTCTCTGTATTTGAACCTTGTACTTGCAAGCTTTAAAGAAAAAATTCTTTTCATGCTCATGCATGTATATATATACTGGAATGCCTTATTTTTTGTACGTTATTAAATATTCTACCACGATTATTGAAAACACCTATGGAAACCGGCGGACATTATTCTCCAATAAATCACGAACATCATCAAAAAATTATCAGATCAGAAACAGGTATCAAATCTGAACAATTCAAATGCATGTTTGGCTGTAGAATGAAATACTTGTTTAGACCGCATCGATGTGTCGTCTTTTGCAGTATAAACACTGTTAATTGCATTAAATTGCTGATGAATGTCGGTTTTTATAGCTAAGCGGGGCTAGTCCACGGACCTCCCTACACATTAAACTTGATTTTAGCAGTAAAACAGGAACATGATTTTGTTATTGTATATTCATTCTAACTGATCAATACATATTACAAACAAATCTGTAATCTAAAAAGGCTATTTTTAATGTAACGAAAGCTCAAATCGTCTGCATTCTATACACAGGTAAGCAAACAAATTTTACCTCTGGTGTTAAATGGAACAGCGTAATCGAGACATGGTGACCTAATTCGTTTCTCTATAGAGGAAACGATCCGCCGTATTTATCGATCTTGGTAGAATAGAAATAACGTCCTTGTTGTCGTGAATGATGCAGAATAACCTCCTCGGTCTCGAAATGTTGTTTGAAATATAAAAGCCTCGGCTTTTATCTTTCAAACAACATTTCTCGACCTCGGAGGTTATTCTGCAACATTCACGAAAACGCGGACTTTATTTCTTAAATATTTACATTTGCTGTGTTTTTCTACTACAATGAAGCGCATTGAAGTGGTAAAATTTTCCATTTGGACGAAACGTTCTGAGTCATGTTTTGAACGTCAATTATAACATAACGACATGCCCATTTCTTTAGAAACGAGAAAGGAATATTCATCATAATGTTTTAGGACACTACACTTTCTGCGACAAGCAACATGAGTTACATTGAAATGAAGATTTTTAAATAAGAAAGAGCTGTGTATCGAGTTCCCGCTGATGTAAAACGAATTTATACATAATTGTGATTTTATCATGTTTATTGGAGTTAGCATAGCGCATGTATCAGTCGAACACTTGCTTACTCGGTGTTTATGTAGACCGTCAATTTCATTGGGTATTATATTTATGAAATACCTGTTCTACAGTTATTCGATTGAATTATTTTTCCTTTCTAAAGAAATGGGCGTGTCTAAAGATAGCTCAAAACGTTCCATCCAAACAGAAAATTATACCACTTCTATGCGTTTCATTGTAAGCCAACTGTGAAATTGATTTGAATACCATTTTTGTGTATACTCAGGCGTAGAAATATACATGGAGAAACGTATGTTAATGTGACGTCACAATAAGGCTGCAGCGATGTTAGTAAAATGCAACGATATAGGGCAGGGACATATTCAAATATTTACTATTAGTATATTATAGTTGCTTCCAAACATGTAAAATGTAAATATAAGGAATGTTTTTAAGGAGCAACAGGACCTTTCGCTGAAAAAATTCCTGTCAGTGAATTTTTTTCGTATTTTTTATATTGCTAATTAAATATGTACTTAACATTTTAAACATGTTAAAATGGTCCTGTCATGGGATTTCTTGACTTATTTAAAAGATATCGCCTAGCAAATACCGCCCTGTTTAGAGTTTGTATGGAGTTTAGATACTTCATGTTTACGGGCCCATAACGGAGTCCATAATGCGAATTTTTATGCACAAACGATAAATATGCATGATAGATAACACTATATATTCAAATATTTCAGAATATTCATAGTGTTTAAATTATCTGAAAGCAATTGTTTTAATTATATATTAAGTATTTGGGTGGGATAATTTCTGCATTTTTCAAGGCAGCTTCAACGACAAAAACCTCATTTGGAAAAAATTCTGTCAATAAATATTTCTAAATTTACGATTGAATGTCAGTCCTTCATAGTAATTATTTACTGCATAAATATCACAGGGTGAAGCTTACCTCAATATCACACAGGACATTGTTGAATTAGACGTAAGCGTGATAAAAACGCTTCACGTTCGTATTTTCCGAGTGCGGGAAATCAATTGTGACGTCACACGAAAACATAAACATTCAAAATTATCTAAATAGAGAGAATCTCTGCCACTAAACACGAAAAAATACTAATTAAAAACAAGTATATACTGACAAAAAGTCAGAGATACTCAAGCTGTAGAAAATCAACTAAGAAAAGTCATTAATATCCTAAAATGGTATAATGTGGGCTATTGAGTTCAATCTTCTATTGAATTATATACATGTACATGAAACAAAATTCATATAATGAAGTTAATTAGAATAAATATAATTTATCGTACTATACGATGAATTTACGTTACTCACTTTCAGGAATATTTTATAGAGTATAGTAGACGTTTCTTGAATTAATAAAATATTTTTTATGTAGACATTTCATATACAGGTAAATATCAGTATCTCGAACATGGGATATCTCGAATACACCGCTTATGTCAAAGTCGGTCGCCGGTCCCGGCCGTTTTCTCTATATATCTGATTTAAAAAACACCTGATATCTCGAACACGGTAATCTCGAATACCCCGCTTATGTCGAAGTATATTCAAAGTCCCAAGCCCTATTTTACCTGGCTTTTCTCGAAGTGCAGTGAATTTTTCGGTCTACTGAACACACCTGGCGTCGTGACGTCACACATTCTTGCCAGTGGCTATTAATTAACACCTTCAAACTGGGGTAATCTTAATTAATCCCAAGCTCATGTTGGGTATCTGTGGCAGGGTAATTGGTATCACAGCTTGGGTGTTTGGTGTAGTCTACGACCGATAAAACTAACCACTTCGCAACAATTCAGAAAATAAAAACAGGCAGTATTACTGATATTGCATTTAATAATATGCTTTGTATAATTAAAAAAAAACACAAAGATTTTTCACGATAAACTTAAATTAAACAGTTAAGTTGCAGTACGTAATGCACAGTGCAGTGATTGATTACATGCATGTTAATACCTGCGTATAAATAGATAACCTTGACCGCCATTTGCATTGTTAATTTCGTAAACTTCGTTCCTCAGTAGTACTTCGTAATGTAATACACATAAGCTATTAATATTATTCAAATACACAGTTTAAATACTGATTATTCTTTAGCGCTTTACATAACATCTGAATTTCATTAAATAATGTTTTTAAAAAACTCGTCTTTTTCTTTTCTTTTCGGAGAAGGTTTTCAACTATAACGCTAATGATACATCCCGTTTGACCACGTAAGCATGGCCTGGAAAATGTACAATCGCTGTATATGCAATGTTATAAGGCATGTATATTACATTGTTTTACAATTATACACGATAAAGAAAGAAACAAACATTGTTTGTCTTCTTATTTATTGTGAATATGCTTGAGTCTTTACCATAAAGACTACATGTTTGGTAATAAAGGATAGTGTTATGGATGAAGATGAAAAAAAAAAACCGGGAAATTATTGATTCGACTTTTGAAGATTACTTCGGATATCTCGAACCCCCGGATATCTCGAAGTTGTGTCCAGGTCCCCTCAACTTCGAGATACTGATATTTCACTGTACTTCAAACTATACGCTTTTTAGCTCACCTGAGCCGAAGGCTCAAGTGAGCTTTTCTGATCACATTTTGTCCGTCGTCCGTCCGTCTGTCTGTCTGTCCGTCCGTCTGTCTGTCCGTCTGTAAACTTTTCACATTTTCGACTTCTTCTCAAGAACCATTGGGCCAATTTTGACCAAACTTGGTACAAAGCATTCTTGGATGAAGGGGAATTTAAATTGTTAAAATGAAGGGACATATCCCCTTGCAAGGGGAGATAATCAAGAAAAGACAAAAATAGGGTTGGGTCATTAAAAAATCTTCTTCTCAAGAACCACTGGGCCAGTAAAGCTGAAACTTAGGTGGAAGCATCCTGGGGTAGTATAGATTCTAAATTGTTCAAATCATGACCCCCAGGGGAAGGGCGGGGCCACAATGGGGAATCAAAGTTTTACATAGAAATATATAGGAAAAATCTTTGAAAATCTTCTTCTTAAGAACCACTGGGCCAGAAAAGCTGAAAGTTATGTGGAAGCATCCTGGGGTAGTGTAGATTCTAAATTGTTCAAATCATGACCCCTGGGGGAAGGGCGGGGCCACAATGGGGAATCAAAGTTTTATATAGAAATATATAGGAAAAATCTTTGAAAATCTTCTTCTTAAGAACCACTGGGCCAGAAAAGCTAAAACTTTTGTGGAAGCATCCTGGTACAGTGTTTCCGTTAACGCATATTTCTGCGTATTTTACGCATTAAAATCACTTTTTACCCCCAAAAACGTCACCTAGAGGGTCATCATGACGCAGAGAAAAATATAAAAACAAGTTTTAAAAATCCAGTTCAATATTGATGTTTTCATAGAAAAAGATATTTTGTATGTTTAATTTACATTCTGGACAACTTTCTAGGAATTTATCATTCCTTTTAGTTTAATTTCAAAGTGGCAGTGATTGGAATCGGCATTTCCATGTCAACAATCTATTAAATATTCTTTTGTACGACCTATCTAATTCTTAAGAAAACCGGAAGCGTAGACAAAAATGGCGCTTCAGCATGTTCAGTCTTACGGTGTCACAACAGTATTAATTTCTGCTATATATTCTTACCAAAAATGCGCAAGTTTAAGTAGATGTAACTAATTCAAAACAAACTTCTGAGAAGTTTCCTTTTCAGATCTAGTAAAACCATTCTTTATAAAGATTTTAGTACCAAAAAATACATAGCCATCCAGCAAGGCACGCAAGTTTGTTTCGGTCGAAGTCGAGCAGGTGCTTGAAAATCTAGTCCAGGGCCTAATCACTCCCCACTCTTGACAGTATACAGAAAAATCAGCACGCCCTAAATTTTAATAAATCTGGTCAATACAGGAAGTTTACATGTTGTTTTTCATCTCATAAAAAAATTCACCTCCAGTCTCGTATCAAAATGCCCGAATCGGAAGGGAAGATTCCGGGATTATTTTCCGTCAGCCATGATTTGACGTGAACCAAAGTGTAATACTGTTATGACACCTTTACATCGGCATATTTATATCAGCTCGGCTTTGTCAAAAAGGCTAATTATGGTGATGAAAAGGTGAGGAAAGTTCAAATCTTTAATAAACAGTCTTGTAAAGCAATCAAACACTTTCAATTGTTATCTTTTGATTGAGGTATTCACGAAACCCTAATGGTGTAATCGGTAAAATGTAACTGTGTACCGAAACAAAAGAAGTATACATGTACCAATCATATTTTACTTTCATTTTTTTGAATTTTTAAACATCAAATATATGATCTTAGAAGGCAGAGCTAATGTTAGAACCGAAAGCAAAACCAGAATATATTTTGACCCTCAAAAAATCTTTTTGACCCCCAAAAGTTTATATCAAAGGGTCATAATGACCCTTGGTTTTAAAAATTAGCAGAAACACTGTGGTATAATGTAGATTCTAAATTGTTCAAATCATGACCCCCGGGGGAAGGGCGGGGCCACAATGGGGAATCAAAGTTTTACATAGAAATATATAGGAAAAATCTTTGAAAATCTTCTTCTTAAGAACCACTGGGCCAGAAAAGCTGAAAGTTATGTGGAAGCATCCTGGTATAGTGTAGATTCTAAATTGTTCAAATCATGACCCCCGGGGGAAAGGCGGGGCCACAATGGGGTATCAAAGTTTTACATAGAAATATATAGGAAAAATCTTTGAAAATCTTCTTCTCAAGAACCACTGGGCCAGAAAAGCTGAAACTTATGTGAAAGCATCCTGGTATAATTCAGATTCTAAATTGTTCAAATAATGACCCCCGGGGGAAGGACGGGGCCACAATGGGGAATCAAAGTTTAATATAGAAATATATAGGAAAAATCTTTGAAAATCTTCTCAGGAACCACTGGGCCAAAAAAGCTGAAACATATGTGCCCATGGAAGGATCATGGGGTAGTGTAGATTTCAAAATGTCTAAATTATGATCAGTGGGGTAGGGTGGGGATGCATTACAAGGGGGAAATCTGGTAAAGAACAGAATGGTCAAAGCTTCTCAGGTGAGCGATGTGGCCCATGGGCCTCTTGTTTAATTTTGCTTAATGACGTACATAAAAACATTTTATAAACATCAATCTAAATAGCTTGTTGCAAGTCGGAAGAAAAGTTTTTCAAAGTGGAGGGGGGGGGGGGCTCAGGGCTCCAAAAAGCCACGGAATTACCGGTATACGGGTACATCTAACTGTGCGGCATGTACAGTACATATTCCGTTCGAATCCAAAAGAAGTTATTTAGGTTCCGTTACCAAAGCTGAAGAAAGTACGATTTTTTAAAATAAAAAAAAAACGTATGAGGGAGAAATTAACATTAATTTTGCGCTATTATTTTACTGTCACTCAAAAGAAAAATCGGTCAAATGATTTAATCGAATACCTGTAGAACAGGTATTCCATAAATATAATAGCCAATCAAATTGACGGTCTACATAAACAGCGAGTAAGCACGTGTTCGACTGATACATGTGTTATGCTAACTCCAATAAACATGATAAAATCATAATTATGTACAAATTCGTTGCAGTGCGTCTTTTACAAAAGTGGGGACTCTGTATATAGTTTTCTCTTATTTAAAAATCTTCATTTTAGTGTAACTCATGTTGCTTGTCGCGGAAAGTGGAGTGACCTAAAACATTACGACGAATAATTCTTTCTCGTTTCTAAAGAAATGGGCGTGTCGTTACGTTATAATTGACGTTCAAAACATGACTCAGAACGTTTCATCCAAATGGAAAATTTTACCACTTCAATGCGCTTCATTGTATATTGAAATCAGACCAACACTGCGAGAATAAGCGTTTCGAAAATTTGTTAAGAGAAGGACAATTAGAAATGGGGTAACCTGCGTCACCTTTCAGAGTAACCAGTGGACTCGTCCAAGGATGCTTTGTCGGCGACTGTAAAAAGTACCTGAGATCCCTACGCAAATGAAAGCGCGAAATCTCTGTATAGAAACTGTTGCAGCTGCGACGCTTCACTCATTGTTCATACGCTGTAGAATAGAATCCGACTTTTAACACTTAATATTTTTGAATATACAGACGTTTTCAAAATAAGCTTCATTTTTGTTTCTAGAAATATATTTATCTACAAATATAATATAATTTCGTGTTTTTAAACTGAGTAAATCGATGACCTAGCATCGTTTTAGATAACTCAAGCCCCTCTAGGGCTTGAGTAAAAATCTGCTACAGAAATTTATCACGATACATTGACTGTGACCTGTTTATTATGAAATAAAACTGATCTAGATGGGTGTATGCACTGAGAATTCAAACACTACGTCTATGACGTCACTGACGTCAGACTGCAGGGTAAAGAGAAACAAATGTGTGGATTGGGCAACTTCACAATATCTAAATGATGGCAAGATCTTTAAAAATTTTATTAATAATAATTTCTAAAATTAAATGTTTAAAAAACAATTTTAGAATTTAGAATAAAATTACACAAGAACTGTTATTTTAACAACGTTTAACATGTATATCATCACCGATTATGATGTAATATGTCTTTATAATCATGTGACATGTATCCTGTCTCCCCTTAAGTTTAGTGTGAATTATTGGTGTGTGAATCACACAGACTTGCACGTAGGCATATTTTCATGAAGCCCTAGCCAAAAAAATGCTTGTAAAGAAGGCTTAAGAGAAATAACAATGCAAGCACTATTGTAGGTGAAGTTTCAATTGCAACCTTTTCTCTGCTTTCATTATTTTTAGATTTTTTTTCTTTCTCTCTCTGAATAGACTGATGGAGGAACACTGCATATATACCCTGAAAACGAGAGTCGTATCGCCAGCATCGAGCCCAACTTTGACCGACTTCTGTTTTTCTGGTCAGATCGACGAAATCCTCACGAAGTCATGCCAACGACCAAAACAAGGTATTATTATTATAACTGCAGTTACCATGGTTACCAAGGCATGCCTAAAAGAAAATATTATTGTTCTATAGTAACTGAGGCATGCCTAAAAGAAAAAAACAGCATATAGTAACTAAGGCATGCTTACTAAAAAAACGGTATATATTAACTAAGGTATGCCTACTAGAAAAGCATAATAATTGTTGCTGCAGTTACCAAGGCATGTCTAAAAGAAAAATATTAATGTTTCTATAGTTAATATTGCATGCCTGACAGAGAAGCAACATAATTATATGAAATCAGCAAGGTTTCATACTCATGTAAAATACAAAATCTCTGGCCAATACCTATGCAGCCCAAAGATAAAAAAAATTTGTCTGTCCATCCGTCCGTCTAGCTGTCCGTCCGTCCGTCTGTTAACTTTTCACATTTTCAATATCTTCTCAAGAACCACTGGGCCAATTTTAACTAAACTTGGTACAAAGCATCCTTAAGTGAAGGGGAATTTAAATTGTTAAAAGAATCCTTAAGTGAAGGGGAATTTAAATTGTTAAAATGAAGGGCCAGGTCCCTTTCCACGGGGAGATAATCAAGAAAATACAAAAATAGGGTGGGGTCATTAAAAAATCTTCTTCTCAAGAACCACTGGGCCAGAAAACCTGAAACTTATGTGGAAGCATCCTGAGGTAGTGTAGATTCTAAATTGTAGAAATGATGACCCCCGAGGGTAGGATGGGGCCACAATAGGGAATCCAAGTTTTACATAGAAATATATAGGAAAAATCTTTAAAAATCTTCTTCTCAAGAACCAGTGGGTCAGGAAAGCTGAAATTTATGTGGAAGCATCCTGGGGTAGTGTAGATTCTAAATTATAAAAATCATGACCCCGGGGGGGGGGGGGGGGGTAGGGCGGGGCCACAATTGGGAATTTAAGTTTTACATAGAAATATATAGGAACAATCTTTAAAAATCTTCTTCTCAAGAACCAGTGGGCCAGGAAAGCTGAAACTTAGGTGGAAGCATCCTGGGGTAGTGTAGATTCTAAATTGGTAAAATCATGACCCCGGGGGGTAGGGAGGGGCAACATTAGGGAGTCATAGTTTTATATAGAAATATATTGGTAAAATCTTCTTCTCAAGAACCAGTGGGCCAGGAAACTGAAACTTAGGTGGAAGCATCCTGGGCTAGTGTAGATTTTAAATTATTAAAATAAAGATGGGGGTTGGGAGGGGGTAGGGGACCACACTAGATGTAAGTAGAGGGGGAAATCTGGTAAAGAACTGCATCACACAAAGCTACTCAGGTGAGCGATGTGGCCCATGGGCCTCTTGTTTGGGGTTGGGGTTGGTGAAAGCCTTTAAGGAGGAATGTGGTGGTCAGATGGGTTTAATTGCTGCCATGGTAACTGTAGAGCACCTGACTGGTGATTCAGGGGGACCATCACGTTTTCTTTCCTAGCTGTACACTGTTAGTAGATCTTGTGTTTTTAATTCATATGCATTATCAATATGTGATATTACAATGCTTTATGCTTATAAGGACATATGCAACATACTTTCCCTTGTGATAATTTTTCAAAATAATAATAGTTTCAGATCGTAGTATGATAGTGCCATAAGATGTTTGTGGACAAAATTTTAGCATTCAATACCAGAGGTTTTGAAAAGATATCAATTAATGAAAAAATTAATTAAAATTAAAAAGAAAAATTACCGTACTAGTATCTACTAAAGTTAGTAGTAAAGAAAAAAATAGTAGTATATTATAGTTGTTTTGTTTATCCAAATTTTTTTTTTTGGAAGATAAAGTGTACCACAGCATATATGGACATTGAAATGTTGCACTTAGTTTCTATAAGTAATTGGAACTCTTCAACTCCAGGGGAAAAGACGATAAAGTTCTAACTACGTTGCCTTTGTCTTTAATTTGCCTAATTTTTTTGCAGTAATTACCGATATGCATGTCATTACTATATGGTATCATGACGGTTTTAGGTCTAATTTTTGTTTTTGTTGTATAATTACAGATACGCCATTACTGTTTGGTATTACGATGCTGTCGAAAGGAAACAAGCCGTGGAGAAATTTACAGGTATGGATAATCTCCCCTTTCTGAGAATCGTAATTTTAAATCTCCTGAGTCACATTCTTCTATTCATAACCCTCCATAGCCATTAATCATGCCATAAATCATTCATAGCAATGAGGAGACAAGGGGGGTATAAGACATTGTAGGATTAAATTATAGAAAGTTTATTTCTGTAGGATGAAAAGCAGTGCTTCATTTTGTATGAAGATGAAAATTTGTTCTCAATACATTACCACATTTGAATATGCTTTTGAATGTGTATGAGGGGCTTCAAAGAAATATAAGGGAATAAAGGGGAAAAAAGAATGACCTGAAAAACAATGTTACTCAGGTGACTGTTGAGGCCCACAGGCCAACAACCATTCAAAGCTCATTTCTTCATTTAAAAAAAAAACATTTCATTTTTGTTGACTGCTTCTTTTTGTTTTGATTGTATCTTTTAGTTTGCATTACCTGTAGATAACACCTGTTTATTTTGTTTTGGATACCTGTGTTTTACCTGTATTGTAGATTACTGTGGGTTGTCCCCCCTCTCTAATTCAGTGCTGGGGGTCCAGCAACTCCTCCCTATCATGACCTCCAACCAGGGGCCATCAAGGAAAAAGTCCTATGATGGCTTCGAGAGTTGTCTGGTCAATCGAAGACGAAGCAAGCCCAAGAAACATAGCTGTTAATTTTAGAGGGTATATCGTTGTTGTCGATCATAGGTGAAACATTTCTGTTGTGAATATAGGCTTTCAAAATGTACGAGGGCCATAGAGATGTTGTGAACATTATTGTTAATTTGGAAGGTATATCACTGTTGTAAACAAATAAGGTTCAATAAGAGAACTTAATTGCGGAAGATTGTTTATTATTTGTGTATTTTTCAAGAGGGGACTTGTACTTAAACTTGCATAAATGTTATACCCTATAAGCAGAATTTTTAGCGAGGATTTAATTTTGATAATATTAGCAAGGGTGCCAAGATTGCTAAAACTTTAATATCGCTTAAAATTATTGCGCTTTATTTTTGATAGCTTCTATGATGAGCTTTTTAAAATTGCTAAAATTACTTCTCACTAAAAATAAAATACCAATTTTTAAAGACAAATGCTAAATTTGTGTCTCTTTAAAATTTTCAGGTATATGGTATTTTGTAAACAATATATAGAGATCTCTCTAAGAGTATAGGGTATGTCGCTGTTGTCAGATATCTATAAGAATACCCCCCTTAAAAATCACGTAATATTCACGAGAACTTCAATTTTTGTGAAAATACCAGAGACAATCTACTCGTGAAATTTGTTTTCTTGTGTGTATTTTTATAAGCATGGGACAACAACCAGCATTCATTGAAACTAATTTTCGACTTATAAATACCAAATAAATAACTCCTGAAAATATGGTGTCGCAAGATTTTGGTGATTTATAGAATTGGTATTCGAGATGCCTGTGTTCTAGATATAAAAGTTCTATGTGATATCATTTTTTTTTTTCAGTTTTGTTGTGTTTGGGATATGGGAACGTTTGCTTGTTGTTTTTGTTTTTTTTTGTTTTTGTTTTTTTTTACAAGTATTTTAGTATTCTTGTTTATCATGCCAATCTCATTCTCATTTTTTTATCATAATTGTTGGTGCAATATATTTTCAATGTTTATTCACTATCAAAATGAAAATAATATTTATCAATTAAATTAAAAAAATGAAATTAAAAGAAATGTACAGGTTTACAAGTAAGAGCCAAGAAGTAAGAATTAAACTTTTGTATTTTTTTTTCCAGAGGGTCAGAAGCATCCTAAGCGATAGCAGAGATACATTGGATTGTGGGTATTTTTTTCTGTGCTAAGCAATATGTCAGTTGTACTCTCCATGTTGTTTGCTTGGTGCCTTACTGTGATGTCATAATACTATGATGTCACATTACTGTGATGTCATAATTACTTCTTCAGTCAAGTGCTCGGCTCGATCTTTGACTTCAAATATTTATTTCCAAATCCTTGCAACAAGGTGTTTATTTCAAGTTGTAAATTGTACACATGCTTTGTGTCATTCAAATATTCTCCGGAATAAATATATTGAATCAAAAAAGTGTAGCAAGCTCACATCAACTCTTGATTGTTGGTCATCTCACAAGAAGACTTATTTTTACGAAGGAATCATGTTAGACAGTTAAAATCACAGTCAAGTGATGCGTAGTTTAGACAGTTAACATGTCTGTTGTATCTGATTGTTCACAAATGAATAGCGGACAAAATGATTGATATATTGTGTGCTAAATGGACATGAATGTAGTGATTATGAATAGAAATCTGTACAAGATACAGATTTTGATTGGAGAGACCGAGAAATCTGTACTACAGATTGTTTTGATCAGTATTGTTACACTGTTGTGATATTTGTGACAAGGTTAAAAAAGTTTTGTTTTGTTTGTTTTTTTAAATCTGGATGATAGACAAATGTGACTGAAGTGAAATATGGAAGGATCCAACAGTTCAGAGTTCCAGGGAAAATAACTCAAGGAAATGTTTACACAAGATGGTGTATGTTGTAAAGAAATTTTTCATATAGAATATATGTTGTTGTTTTTTTTATTTTTTGTAAAAATGATGAGAAGTTTAGAATGTAACGCATGAAGATATAAGATTGTGTTGATCCATTATGCTACCGAAGAATTATCCATAGCAGAGCGTATGTGTACTATAAATCAACTTTTATTTGGTTGCAAGATATATACCCGAGTTTTGCAACGTGTTTTTATACTTGCAAATATTTATTTCTTTGTGGATTTATATATAAAGAGTCATCATTGGTTAAAATTGTTATATGTTGATGAATTTCACATTACTTTTAAAAAATGGTTGCAAACAATAGTTGGTTAACAGTATTTTATGGCTAGAGTGAACTAATGTGCAAGTGTATGTTTTCAAGGTCTCATTTTTCCAGCCTCATTTTAATTTTCCAGCCTCATTTTGAGCTTTGGTGAGGTATTTCACAGAATGACACTGCTTGTACAATATGTTTACTGAAAGTATCCAATGTACTCTACATGTCCATAAAATGGTTAAAATTTAGTTTGAACGTGCAAGCATTTGTTTTAACATCACGTCTAAATAAAATTGTACAATGCATTATGTTATGCTATGGATTGCTAAGTTTAATTTATATTTTCATATCATCATTTGTGACACTGTACATGTATTATTACATTCCAATGCCTGCAGCAGTTAGAGTAGCTAGTGTTTTACAAGAAATGGGATGTGAGAGCTAGTATTTTTATACCAGCAAAGTTTGAAAGTATACTGTAACCACTTTGTCCATCTGTCTGGCTTTATACGTTTTTGCTCTGAAGTTATCTCTACATCTCTTTAGTATTTTTTACAAAACATTTAATATAAATTATTTTAATGTCAAATTTTGAAGAACTTGGAAAATGTGCAGTTGTAGGTTGGAGAAGCATTAGATCATACTTAGCTCAGAGGTTTTCGGATAGGTGGTATGCAGGGTCTTTCTCAAAACTGTAAATTGTGGTGTTTTTATCTCAACAAATTTAGGTATCTTTCAAAATCTGAATGTGACAAACTTAAAAGGTGCTATTTCCATGCCCTGCTTTTAAGGTATTCAATGATTTTACACACCCTTCTTTTTCTGCTACTTTGTTAATTTAGAAATGGTGCATTCCTATGAAATATTTTGTGTAAACAATTTGGTTAAGGAAATCTATGGTGACCTTATTATTTCTAATTGTTCACAGTAATTAACTAGTGCTAATTGTAACGGGGACCGTTACAGATGTTCCCCAAACGCTCCCCATGTCCCTTATCGTGCCTTATTCCTCTAAGACCTTTTATAAATATGCTAAGTATCCCAAGATTTCATTTAAGAATATAAAAGTTACAATGATATCAACTATCAACGATATATTGTTTAACGTTTTGCATGCGCGCACACGTACATGTACATGCATATGCAAGATGATTATGGCATGTTGATTAAGCGATTAACATATCTTTCTATCCCGCGAATCAAAGAAAAAAAAAATATATGAATTTACCATTTTTCAAGCATATTTCATATTTTTAATATATCGATTCACATTTTATTTCTCTACTTATTTTAACCTCGGGCTCAAAGTTGGTTTTATTCCGACGACAAGGCAGGGTTAAAGTCGACTAATGGTATCACGCCAATACCTAACCAATCAAAATGAACTTATTCAATAGTAGTTCCATACATGGAAAAGGGATTTTCCTTTCTGTTCAGAATTTTTTAAATATTTCCTCTCAGGCCATTTTGACAACTCTGATACCTGTGCCTGGTAAATTTTATATACTTTGTAAATAAATATATAAAGGTTTTTTGACCGGAACTATTCATGTTTTCCAATGCATAGGGGGCTACTCTCTGGGTTTTACAAGAGAAGTTTAAAAAGACATTCGTGTCAGCTAATGTGACCTATATTGTTTAACACCTTCTTATTAATATTTTTTCATGAATGCAAATATCTGATTATTTTACGAAGGAGCGTACATGTATATTGATTTTTTAATATACCGAAAATCGCTATTTCTGGGGATTGCGTAATTCTAAAAAAAAATTCAAATAAATTTCAAAGGTAAATTTAACAAAGGATGCTTGGTATTAAAATATTATTTCATATCAGTAGAATCGAATGCTTTTAACGACATCTGAATAAATAGGCTATAAAAGGCTTATATGCCAAGTTTGGTCATCTGCACTTAAATTTTAAACACGACAGGATTTGTAATTTTTTTCTGTATAAATTAATAATTCCTATACATGTATACTTTGGAAACTCAAATGAAATATTTTAATACACTTTCCTCGAGCTCTTTTCTGCAGTTTTCCTGAAATTTTATGTGGGTCCGAGGTGTTATTTGAGTTTAACAGTGATTCTCTACGTTGCCATTAATTTGATTTGTTTGTGTGTGTGTGTGTGGGGGGGGGGGGGTAATTTCAGTCTTTACCTATTTAATGTTGGAGTTGAATCTTGTATCTTATTCCAAGAACTTAAGATTGATTGTGACATTTGGATGAAAGGTCAAGGTCATTAAAAACCACCACCTCTTTAACTTCTAACCTGTCAACCGAAATATACTCTGAAAGGTGTTTCTAGATACATGTACATGTACTTCATGTTTCTTTATACCCTTTGGTCAAGGACAAAGGTTAAGGTCGATTTCAAGTTCATAGGTCAAGGTGATTTTGGTAAATAGTTAATATCTACATTTTATTCAGGTTACCAGTGACCTTGATCTAAGTGTCAAGGTCAAGGGTAAAAAGATCTGCATGCTTCAGTATGTTACATGTCTTGACATTTAGAAGTTCTTAATTCTGCATGAACATCAAACACTCAAGTATACTGTCTTTTAATACACTGTGTGCGGTCGCATGTGCATGCACGTCCATGTATTTACTTTTGATAGTAGTATAATGTAGGCAATCATTATATCTATTCATATTTGAAATATCACCCTGTATTATTGAGAACCAAGAAAGTTGTAGGCATTTAAAGTTTTAGCCAATCAGATTGCAGCACACGTGCATGTGCGTGCGTTCATGATTATTCTTATATATCATGCTGTAGATCTTCATAATGTAAGACTATGTTCAAAATTTCAAAGGATTTTGTCAGAAAACAAAATAGATATTTAGACTTTAAGTTTCAGCCAATCGCAGCGAAGGGCACCTGCATGCGCGTGAGATCTTGCTATTTTGACCATGTCATCATGTCTATACTGCTTTTATATCCTTATATTATGAGTTTCAAAGCATTTCATCCAATATTTAAAAAGTTACGGCTCAATCTATTATATTGGTCATTTCACGTGTTACACGTGCGCGCACCTGCACGCACGTGCGCGCAAAATGACCTTCGTTCCGCACATTTACATAACATACCTAGTGACCCTAAAAAGGTTTCACCTAGATCGGATGAGTAGTTTACGAGAACACTCGCGGACAAAAAAGTACCGGAGAACAAAGAAAAAATTCAGAAAAAGTAAAAACAATATGTTCCCAAACTTCGTTTGGGGAACATAATTAAGGTGACTGTATTGAGTTTTTATCAATAATTTTTATGGCATTTGAGTGTCTCTTTGTACAACGTCTGAATTGTTAATAAAAATAGTGGGTCTCTAAAAGATATTGTGATGAATAGAAAAAATGTTTCCTCTTAGAATATGTCCCACAGAAAGTTTGTGCACTGTGAGGATTTTGAGAAAGTCTGGATGCATAGTACTCTGGTAACCATATAGTTGTCCTTGAGGGGCTGTTTTTCTTTCTTTTTGATAGAAAATTGTCAAATAACTTTTTTATGTGCACTTTGTCTATGTGTTGTGTAAATTTTGAGTATTAATAATTAAAAAAAATTATATGTCTACTTGATATTCAAAATTTAATCAAATTTAGCAGTTGAATATTTTCGGAACCTGAGGATTGAAATACCGTAAAGTGTTGCATAATAAAAAATAACAATTAACATTTACACTAAAATTAATCACCTCATTACTAATTGCAGCTTTTGTTTATGTTTTCAATGCACCTTGAATGATAGGCAAATGTTAAAGATTTTAATTGTATTTTTATTTTGCTCTGTGTGATTTAGTTGTTTTACAAAATTGCTCTTGATTGTGCTTCACAACCCATTGTTAAAGTGATCTTTGCTCAAGACATCTGTAGAGGTAAAAATTAGACCCCTGTCATGTGAATAGAGTAAAAAAAAATCATGTGATGAATAGTTAAGAAATATCCATGAATTATTTGTTGTGTGTATTTATGTTAATGTTATAAGAATCAAATTTTTTTTCTAATGTTCACCAAAGATTTTTGCATACTAGTATATAAGAGTTCCATTATAACTTTATTTTATAAAAGAAAGATAACTCTTCTTTTAAATAAATCCACACTTGTTCGTCATATTAGTACATGTTCATGTAAATTTTACGCATTTGTTAATGAAATCTCTTCATGAAAACACTTTGAATCAGTTTCAAACTATCATGAAATGTGGTAAAATAGTGTTATTAAAGAAAGAGTTTTTTCAAGCTAGGTGATTTTATAATACGCCGTATCTAGAGATCGAAGTGTGTGTGACTG